CAACATAGTCCATCTTAGATACCTAAAGAAAAAACTAAGACCGAACCGGAATTTGTTTTACAGCAGCAAACATGACGTTTTAAAAAACTATGCCGCCAGCAAACGTTTTTATCTGGGTCTTTTTTTTTTGAAGATTAGTCTCCTTCAAATGACAGTTTTTTCAGTAATGAGGGCCACTGGTGATATTTAGCTACGCTTCTAAGCTCAACAACTCCTCCTGGTGTTACTTTACAATCTATGGCTGTCTTAAGAGGACACTAGAGACATGGGTGTTAAGGGACATTTTGGTATCCCTAGACACACACTTCCCTTCCCAGCTGTCAAAACAGACTGTAATCTACAGTTCATATATAACTGAGACATAAATAACAACTAGTGACGAAGCCAAACATTATGTATGTGAACCTTCATGATATTAAGGCTGGGACGAGTACTGAATGGGCAGCCAGTCAGACAACATTACCGTTGCTACCCTGACTCGACACAATCCACACATTCACCTTACCTCCAGCTGATGATAGGGTCAGCCACCTGACTCGCACACCCCATCACCTCCCAAATTGTTTCCTCACACACGCTTTTGGGTTATGACCCTACACACGTGATAACTAGAAAAATACTGTATTGTATCCTTGTCGGGAACAGAAGCCCTTAGCTTCGAAGCTTAGCATTTGACCACCCACTATAATACACTGTATAACAATAAATTAACATTTAGGTAACAATACTAACAACCCACCAGGATGTGCCTTATTACAGTCAACTACACTCAAGTATCTAATTTAATACTAAGTGGAAAGTGGCAGCATGTGTAAGGATACTCGTCCTGTGAGCCACTTGCTCTGACCACTATGAAGTCTCGTATTAAATCAATCTAAACTGTTACCCTATTCCTGCCCATTAAGGGGTTATGCCTTAATGCTGGTGAAGGGCTCTTGATCCAAGGAATCCGTGCTCCCCTCCCGTTGGATCAAATCTGATTAACCCGCAGTTCCTAAGCTATTATTCCTACTGGTTTAGCCTTCACATGAATGAAATAAAACTCCAGTCAATGTGAATTACTCTTATACAAAATAATTAAAATATATCCCAATTTAGGCTTAGGTAAATAACACCACCATTTTTTTCAGTATTCACTGTTAATAACAATTGTGACATTAAATATAACAAAGTATAACAAATGAATAACATTTCTCTTTAGTATATATATCTACACATTATAAATATATAAATATATATATATATAATATATTATATATATATATATATATATAATATATATAATATATATATATATAATATATATAATATATATATATATATATATATATATATATATATATATATATATTATATATATATATATAATATATATATATATATAGTGTATTTCTTTCAACGAATATATATCGTGAGTTTAAGCCCTATTTTAGGAATTAAAGTATCCTTGTCTGGTGTGAAAAAGATTACAAGAATGCCTAAGCCTCGAAAGTCGATAGGCCTTAAGTTCTCATTAACTTAATGATTAATGTACATAGCAACAGCCTAGTAATGTGTCCTATTTTGGGTAAATCGTTCTTAGGTTGAAACAAGCTTCTTAGAAACAGCTCTCAGCATTAAGCGAAATTTACAAGCCTTAAGATACAGCTGCATATATCAAGCCGTGACAAGACTCAGGAAACAGGTGTGATGATTCTAAGAAACAGCTGTGATGATTCTAAGAAACAGCTGTGATGATTCTAAGAAACAGCTGTGGTGATTCTAAGAAACAGTTGTGATGATTCTAAGAAACAGCTGTGAAAGTTGAATCTAAGAAACAGCTGTGATGATTCTAAGAAACAGCTGTGATGATTCTAAGAAACAGCTGTGATGATTCTAAGAAACAGCTGTGATGATTCTAAGAAACAGCTGTGGTGATTCTAAGAAACAGCTGTGATGATTCTAAGAAACAGCTGCGATGATTCTAAGAAACAGTTGATGATTCTAAGAAACAGCTGCGATTTTTCTAAGAAACAGGTGTGATGATTCTAAGAAACAGTTGATGATTCTAAGAAACAGCAGCGATTTTTCTAAGAAACAACTGCGATGATTCTAAGAAACAGTTGATGATTCTAAGAAACAGCTGCGATTTTTCTAAGAAACAGGTGTGATGATTCTAAGAAACAGTTGATGATGATTCTAAGAAACAGCTGTAACTGAATTTCGGAAAACAACTGCTTTCATCAAACTAAAACGGGTATATACAAAATGATTTTCAGGCAATAACTGCCTTCTTTCAAACTATTTCTCACTCGAAAAAATGCATTTTTAATTAAAAAAAATATAAGCAGCAGTGCATATTTTCCTACCAAAACTCCTTAAATATATTTTTAATGATTAGCTGTAAATTCTGCCTATTTATATCACAAAATTCATGGTGACAATTTTGGGTTATTTTGTCATGACTTTTGAAGAGCATATCATATGCCTAAATTGTGTAAGATGCTAATGTAAAAAAATCATAAGATAAACCCACATTGATTTAAAACACACAGTATGGCAGCAGGAACCATACACAGTTTTAAGACGAGGTTTTACACAGCTCATGGAGCGGGGAGAGAGGACCTAGTAGCGACCAGTGAAGAGGCGGGGCCAGGAGCTATGAATCGACCCCTGAAACCACAAATAGGTGAGTACACACACAGGAGCTATGACTTGATCCCTGTAATCATAATTAGGTGAGTGTACACACACACACACACACACACACACACACACACACACACACACACACACACACACACACACACATTAAATCAACTTAATTACCCCAACAAGTGATGACCACTCTGTTGTTTGGTCATTAGCAACAACCCAAAGATCAATTAGCTGTCACAGTTGCTACCCGAATGGGAATAAATATAAGCGATTTTACTGAGTTATCCCAAGTTAAATTCTACATAATAAGAGCGGTTTTTTTATGCTGAATTAACATGTTCCCGATGGATGATTACTCTGGTTTCAAGCCTATCGACTACACGATCATCATTAAGGCTGCAAGCAACATATACACCACCAGTCAAGAATATTTTAGTTCCTAAAATGGAGATTCAGTTAAATTGTTTATACACAGTATTTACAGTGAATACTGTTATGGTTAAATATTACATGCATTCAGCTGCAATAAAGACAAATCAATGCAGCTGTTCACGTCCTCGTAGCCATCAGTCATTAATCTCCTGCTGATTTTTATAATCATTATCATTATAATTAAAGAGAAGTGCTAAACTACAGTGTCAATATATATAAAAAGAAACTATAACATATAAATACATTCGGTTGCAGTGAATACATCAATCACTGTAGTTGGTCATTTCTTCGTAGCAATCAATCATCAATTTCCTGCAGATTCTTAGTGTCACTATGTGTAAAAAGAAGAACATAAACACATTTTTAAGTGAATGACATCGTAAAAATTATTTGGGAAGTCCAAGACAAGGGCAGGTCAGCGGACCTCTTCTTTACTCCCATTTAAGGTAAGCCACGAATTCTGTTGACTAACCACAAGTGAAAAATCATCAACGTACCTTTCACCGAGTTGTATATGTATACCGTAGAGCCAAATAGTTATCAGAGGGGTGGTAAAGTACCGGGATATCCTCACAGATCACTATAACTACCAGCTTTCACTGCGCCATGTTTACTAATGAGGTGGCGACATCTGTTGGACATCACTAACACTCTGGACATCTCCCTTTTTTTTATATTCTCCTGCAAAACCTCGGTGAAATATACATTTCCTGCCCTCGGTTTTTTCCAGAGGAGGTTTGTACGTATCGTAATGTGGATTTCTTATAGCCACACGAGCAAAAAACATTTGCCATGAGGGAAAATAGATCCCTTACTGGGGTAACTCAAGTGTTTTGAGTATCAATGGGGCTGTGTCGCAGCCCTACCATGAACTCGTCCCAGGGTAAATGACCTTTGATAACTTGCGTAGCGATTACGTAAATGAGTAAGTTGATTTAGGCACAAGCACACATAAGTACAATTATCATACATAGTGTAATTTACCTAGGGTAATCCAAAGAAAGTGAGACAGACTTATTTTCATTTAAAAAATTAATTTCGTGTCTATTTCTGCATTAGTTGATGCGCTCGGGATGTTTTCAGTGTCGTCCGAATTCCCGGAATATTTGGATTTATACTAAAAGATTCTTTAGTTTACAACTAATAGACGGTTTGTTGGTTAGTGAATAAGTTTATTTAGGCACAGGTACACAAGTTATTTACATAGTGTAAATTACCTAGGACAACCCCAAAAAAAAGGTCGAAATGACTCGTTTCCATTGGAATCCATTTTTCTTTAACAAAATTGGATACTTCAGCAGTGTAGTTGGTTAATGGGATTTAAAGGCTAAAAGCAACACGAGGGACATTAAGGCTGCGTGTTCACCTGTTCACCATCAATCAAGAATGTTTTAATACCCGAGTAAAAATTAAACTAAATTCTCAGTATATGTACATAGAGAAACGTACACCTTACAGTAACACACGGCTTGGAAAAGAAACTTTGGACTATATTTCGATCCATCCTGGTCCATTATCAGGACGGAGAGCGAGAAACGTCATCCAAATTTTTCTCTTCAAATTGTTAGTAGCGAATTACTTATTGCATGTAAGCATTACAGACGTTAGTTACATATATTAACATTCCACAAGCTGAGCAAAAAAGATGCGTATTTTCACACAGAAATCAGATGAAACAAAAAAACTAATTGCGTAAATCCCTCCGACAGGGGAGGATGTCTTCCGAATGTTGAAAGCCAGACGATGTTGTGGCTGTTTTCTTTCAAGGACTCTATGCCCATATATATATATATAATATATATATATATATATATATATATATATATATATATATATATATATTTATAAATATATATAATATATATATATTTTATATATATATAGTGATCAAAAGAAAAGAAAATGTCTCAACAAACTGATTGAAGAATGTATATTTTATTACTATAAATGGTTTATACATATCTGAGTTTTTTGTATGGCTTAGACTGCAAACAGCAAGTTGGAAAAATAAAAATGATATACCTTGTTAGGAAAAATATACCTTTGTTATGCAAATAAAAGTTATCCCATAAGATTCCTATAAGACAGCCTGGTTGATCAGGCTCTGATCCACCAGGAGGCCTGGTCACAGACCGGGCCGCGGGGGCGTTAACCCCCGGAACTCTCTCCAGGTAAACTCCAGGTAAACTCCAGGACTCTTCTTTCATCCAGGACCAAGAGCTAGTGTGTCTATACTCTATACATAATCTAGGATAGTCTTTGCGAACGTAATATGATGTATACGCGGAGAAGGGACTAGATGTAACCGTTATAGTATATGGTAAAATATATATGAAAAAAATCTTAAGGTATGGCTAGAGTTATAGTAATAGTAGTAATAATGGTAGGAGATGGAGGGAGGTGGCGGAGGCGTAGGAGGGTAGGGGCGGTGGAGGAGATGGAGGGTGGAGTTAGAGAAAGTAATGTCTTTATATATACATGTCGTGCCGAATAGATAAAACTGGTCAATTAGCAAGAATTCATTTAAAATTAAGTCCTAAATTTGGAAAAGGTCATTTAAAATATAATGTAAAGGATTGTTAGGTCTACAAGGAAATAAGACCTAAGAGGTATGATTAAAATATTTGAAGGCAGGAAAGGATGAGACGACACTTGAGTCTTATCCTTCTAAGAGGCAACTGCCAGATATCCAATAAATAACTAGCTTATAAAGGGTTAGCTATGATCTTTTGAAGTGTGGAGCGAGGAGCATGGGTGATGGTGAGAGAAGTGGTGATAGAGAGGTGGAGGTGCGATGGGGGAGGTTGAGGGGATGTGATGAAGGCTTGATGCTACAGGAGTGAAGATGCTAATGTAGTGGTGCAACATTAAGATGGAAGGGTAAATAATTTATAACGTGTGAATGCTGACAAAAGTTTTATTGCCCGCCTAACCCAGTGATAAACCCACCCATCAGAAAAGGGTGCTGGCAATTCTTGCAGGATGTGGCGGGAAGGAGGTGTAGGTAGTCTGTGTGGAGGCGGAGGGATAATGAAGGATGTAAGGAATACTTCCTGTTGTAATAACCACATGTTAAATAAGTAAAAATTTTTATGTCTGTTGAGATATTTTCTCTAACTGCAGCTTAAAGGGATTTCTAGACTTAAGGTTTTGAATGAAAATAATAAATTTAAGGTAGTCAGTTTTTTTTTAAGGGTAGGAAAGGGGCTGCGAGGAAGACCTGGTTTAACAACCACCACTTGTTTAATAACAGTTCATAAACATTTTAGCTGTGAGCTGAGAGATTATTGAATTTATGAGCAGAGGGTAAGTTTATTTAGGTACATGTACACAAGTATAATTATCACACATAGTAACACATGTGTAAATTACATAGGATAACCCACAAAAAGTCACTCCATCTAGAGATAGCGACTTCTTTTACTGAAGTGCTGACTTATAAGTTAGATTAGGTTAGGTAAGGTTTGTCAGGAAACAAATGCTTCCTGACGAAGGTCTTAGTCAAATGATGATCCGTAGCTGGAGCTTTTGGTCATGTGACAGAGGCCTTTCGCTGGCCTACCAATCCACTCCTTTAAAAATTATGGTTATGAATTATAACTATTAGATAACTAGTTATACCTGAAAGTGTGGATCACACTGTTTAAATAACAAAAAAGGCACAATACAGTTACTGGAACGATACACGATTAACCTGGGGGTTATTTGTGCATACTGTGTTTATTTTACGAATCGTCAGGAGTTTGGAGGCGGAGAAGGGATAACGAAGAACGAGAAAGGAGGTATTATTAAGGAATAAGGATAACGTGAAGTACAGTTACTTCAGCCTTGGTGGGTCTAGGGTGAGTTGCTGTGAGAGTTGAGGTGTATTGCTGGGCACCTGAGTTTCCAGTTCTGGACAAGACCCTGCTGGTGATCCAGAGGGAGTAGTGCCAAGAGGTTCACTCTGAGGAGTTGTAGCACAGATGGTGAGGTTAAGGAGAAGAGAAGTGGACAGGTGACCGTGAGGAAGAGAACCTGAGGCTCCTACGTCCCTGGTTTGATCTCTCCCTCAACCTCCGAGTACTTAGCGAGGGTGAGAACGGGGTGGGGCAGTGTAGGCGAGGAAGGACTCTTGTTCCAAGGCAGTACACTACATGTATTGAAATGACAATGTACACTGATTTTCCAGTAAAATGTTTAAGGGAGGAAAAAGCGAAATATGTCGTGGAAGTGGAATGACTTACTGAAATAGGAGAGGCAGGATCCATATATAGCTTTAAGAATAGGTATGACAGGGCTCACGTAACCAGGAGTGAACCCAGTAAGATAAGATAAGATAAGATTTCGTTCGGATTTTTAACCCCGGGGGGTTAGCCACCCAGGATAACCCAAGAAAGTCAGTGCGTCATCGAGGACTGTCTAACTTATTTCCATTGGGGTCCTTAATCTTGTCCCCCAGGATGCGACCCACACCAGTCGACTAACACCCAGGTACCTATTTGCTGCTAGGTGAACAGGACAATAGGTGTAAGGAAACGTGTCGAAATGTTTCCACCCGCCGGGAATCGAACCCGGGCCCTCCGTGTGTGAAGCGGGAGCTTTAGCCACCAGGCCACCGGGCCACCCTAACAGCAGATAGCCAGCAGATAGAATGGGGTCAGTAAGAGAGACTCAACCCTGCCACGATAAACAGATGAGCACCCTATCTGGCGTCCGCAGGAAATTGCAGATGTATTCACATAAATCTACGGAAAGAAAACCCCAAAGACTGCGATATAATGAAAATATAATAATCTTTATATCTAAAAGTACATGATACAACTACTACAGACCTAGCTGACATTATTGACATACTATATAGAAAGTCCCTAGTTATGTAGAGCATTTAGAGCAGTCTACGTTAATCTCGTTTCCCAGGATGCGACCCACAATAGGACCCCAATGGCTTTTTTGGGTTATCCTAGGTTGCCTACACATATGCTGCTATGTTTGATATTCTATGTAAATGTATTTGTGTATACCTGAATAAACGTACTAGCTGGGAGCCCCGTGGCCTGGCTGGCAAAGCTCTCGCTTCCAACGCTACGTCTCCGAGTTCGATTCCCGGCGGGGTGGAAACATTGAACGCGTTTCCTTACACCTGTTATGTTCATCTAGAAAGTAGGTACCTGGGTGTTAGTTAACTGGTGTGGGTCGCATCCTGGGGGACAAGATAAAGGACCCCCAGTGAAAATAAGACAGTCAATGACGCACTGCTTTTCTTAGGTTATCCTGGGTGGCTAACCCTCAGGGGTTAAAAATCCGAGCGAAATTTTACCTTACCTTAACTCACTGGAACAGAGAAAAATGTTACTGTTACCCATAAAATTTTAGATATCGTTTTCTACAGAGGAAATTAAAATGATTATTACTATTTTTATGATTATATATATGGGAAGAACTAAATCTGTAGGGGTCATAACACACCTGGGAAATGGGAGGTAATCAGGGTTGATCCGAGGAAGGGCAGAGTGCCTCCGATTCATTGAAACGTGAGCCTTTCACTGGAATTCTAAGGATTATGCTTATAAATTATGGGTGACTTAAATATTGTGGAAAATATTTCCAAGGTAGAATATGTATAGTGTTTAAACGTGTATATACATAACTAGTTTAGCTAAACCTATGTATTATAGATGCAAGTTAAATTCATACAGTAATCATACATTTTTCTTGTAAGTTATTATGTATACACAATTCATGAGGGTTTCATGATGCACTGAAGCATACACCGCGAGGTGTATGTTTCAGTACATCATGTACCTACCCTAACCCTGTCTTAGATGGTGGCCACGAATCTGAGTACACTAGTGAGAAAGGTTCGTCAGGTGATGAGGGAGGCGTAGGTGGCCAGGAACCATGAGTGCACTAGTGAGAAAGGTTCCTCAGGTGGCGAGGGAGGCGTAGGTGGCCAGGAACCATGAGTGCACTAGTGAGAAAGGTTCCTCAGGTGGCGAGGGAGGCGTAGGTGGCCAGGAACCATGAGTGCACTAGTGAGAAAGGTTCCTCAGGTGGCGAGGGAGGCGTAGGCGGCCAGGAACCATGAGTGCACTAGTGAGAAAGGTTCCTCAGGTGGCGAGGGAGGCGTAGTTGGCCAGGAACCATGGGTGCACTAGTGAGAAAGGTTCCTCAGGTGGCGAGGGAGGCGTAGGCGGCCAGGAACCATGAGTGCACTAGTGAGAAAGGTTCCTCAGGTGGCGAGGGAGGCGTAGGTGGCCAGGAACCTGAGGACTCCAGTGAGGGAGAAAGGGCATTTAGGATACTGAAGTTGGCAATTGTCACCTGAGCGCCCCGTCTCCACAGCCTCCGTCAGGAAGGTTTTACCAACCAGTGTCTGCAGCCACTTGTTCCTGCGCCAGAAAAAAAAACCATATATACGTATATGAAAGTAAAATATATTCATATTATTATTAGTACACTAAATATAAAATAATTATCCCTAGAATATGTTGTAGCCAAAACTTGAGTCGTGTAGAACTTTCGAAAAAAAAAAAAAGCGTGTAGTGCAGAGGCTTTGGTTAAATTCACAAAGGCCCTTGGTAAACCACAGGTCCCTAATAAATCAAGGTTACCGATAAACCAAAGGTCCCTGGCCAACTAAACTTTGAAGCTAGAGTTGTGATGATAATAGAGGAAGCAGCAGTAATAGCGAAGGATGGGCAAGTTATAATACTGGAGGATAGAGCAACGATGTTGGAGGATTGAACTCTGACAAGTCTTTTAAGGTGTTAACCTGACTAGTAATACCAGCATCTTCGTCAAGTAAGAGGACTCACCTAGCGATACCAGAGACGATCATCTCTATAGAGTCAGCATCACCTTCTTTGACGCTGGCTTCAGACTCTGCCACGTAGTTGCAGGCTGCGCGTTGCATGCAAGAAGTTGAATCCAGGTCGTACTGGGCGAGTGCGTCGTCCAGCTGGTGCAGCAGAGATGTGAAAGGTGCCACTGGCAACACACCACCTATAATACAGACACGTGTCAATGTTCAGTAATAGAAATAATACCTAATCCCTTTTAGGAAGCTGCCTGAATGCTGACAAAGAGATCTTAATCAACGTGACTATCAATAAGTGCCTTTTGACAAGTGGAAACTAACTAACCTCTTTCAATATTGCGTCCATAAGAGCCAGTGTACGGGGTATTGTATTCAGTTGATCCCGAGACCAGGTTTGTAAGCAGAGAAGCCAGCTGTGGCAGGAGGAGGGCAGCCAGCAGCACAGCTGCACCTATTGAGATGACAGAAGGCCAGTTGATTGACATCAGGGAGCTGAGAGCCGTGCCGGTGGTGGAGCCCAAGCTATCCTTAAGGTTCATCAGTGACGATGTCGGGATGGAGAGGAACGGCACAGTGAAGCTAATGCCCAACTGACGAGAAGAGAGAGAAGCTGTTAGTGCTGTTGACGACAGAAGAGAATAGCTGTAAATGGTGTTGACAAGAGAAGTGGATGTTTGTGGTATTGGCGGGAGAAGTGATTGGCAGAGAACAACAACCACCACCAGAGCACCACAAACACCATCAGAGCACCACAAACACCATCAGAGCACCATAAACACCACCAGAGCACCATAAACACCACCAGAGTACCACAAACGTGAGGGCTCATACTCACATCAAAGGTCTGAGAATCTGAATAGAAGTTGAAGAAGCGATTACTGTTGTTTCTGGAGCTCGTCTCTGGATAGGCGTAACTGGACGACTCTTCCTCTGTGCCTATAGGATGAGGGACACAACATATCTTTATTTACTACCAGTACATGTACAAGGTATACAGACCATAGCTGACATCAATGGCATACTACTATATAGAAAGCCGCTTGTTATGCAGAGCTTTTTGAGTAAATTAGGACGTGTCAGCGGATGGGTCTATGAAAGATGAGGTGAATCATAGAATTGATGAGGGGAAAAGGGTGAGTGGTGCACTTAGGAGTCTGTGGAGACAAAGAACTTTGTCCTTGGAGGCAAAGAGGGGAATGTATGAGAGTATAGTTTTACCAACGCTCTTATATGGGTGTGAAGCATGGGTGATGAATGTTGCAGCGAGGAGAAGGCTGGAGGCAGTGGAGATGTCATGTCTGAGGGCAGTGTGTGGTGTGAATATAATGCAGAGAATTCGTAGTTTGGAAGTTAGGAGGAGGTGCGGGATTACCAAAACTGTTGTCCAGAGGGCTGAGGAAGGGTTGTTGAGGTGGTTCAGACATGTAGAGAGAATGGAGCGAAACAGAATGACTTCAAGAGTGTACCAGTCTGTAGTGGAAGGAAGGCGGGGTAGGGGTCGGCCTAGGAAAGGTTGGAGAGAGGGGGTAAAGGAGGTTTTGTGTGCGAGGGGCTTGGACTTCCAGCAGGCATGCGTGAGCGTGTTTGATAGGAGTGAATGGAGACAAATGGTTTTTAATACTTGACGTGCTGTTGGAGTGTGAGCAAAGTAACATTTATGAAGGGATTCAGGGAAACCGGCAGGCCGGACTTGAGTCCTGGAGATGGGAAGTACAGTGCCTGCTCTCTGAAGGAGAGTGTTAATGTTGCAGTTAAAAACTGTAGTGTAAAGCACCCTTCTGGCAAGACAGTGATGGAGTAAATGATGGTGAAAGTTTTTCTTTTTCGGGCCACCCTGCCTTGGTGGGAATCGGCCAGTGTGTTAATAATAATTAATAATAGGTCAGTTTTGTCCCAGGCTGCGACCCATACCAGTCGACTAACACCCAGGTACCCATTTTACTAATGGGTGAACATAGACAACCGGTGTAAGGAAACACGTCCAGTGTTTCCACCCTTTCTCCGGGAATCGAACCCGGACCCTAACCGTGTGAAGCGAGAGCTTTAGCCACCAGAAATGAAAAGTGGTTGTTAAAGGTGGTGATAAGGTTTTGGTGTAAAATGGCTTTAAATAATTTGTAACTGTTGACACTGTGCAGTGTGGAATCTACGTTAAAGTGAAAACTTCAGACCAGGTTTACGCACTGGCCTTGTGTTTTACGACTCACTCGCCGCGAGTTCAATCCCGTCCGTGGTGTGATTTATATACAGTTTTACTCGTATCTCAACGCGACCTCAATAGTGTGAAACTCAAATTACTTACAACTTACCAAAGAAAGTTTTCTGGGAAGCTTGGTCAAACTTGGTGGAGTTGGTAATAAACTCGGGGTATTCAATGGGACTGAAGCCGGTAGATATTCCACTGAAGTCTGAAGCTTTCTTGATCTACGGGAAGAAAATGAAGCTTAGACCTGATCACCTGCTGCTAATGGGTGATTCTGAATCATAATTCTAAGCTGTTATTGTGTTCTTTAGGTTTAAAGTTTGCCGATTGTTCACGAGTTAAGTTGTTCTTCCCCTGAACACCTTAAATACGGTATATACATTTCTGTGTTCAGTTTTGTTCAACTGTACACTGAAACTAAAAATTGATCCTAAAATAAGGTATACACATTTCTCTGTGTAAATACGCCAAGAGATAGACACTTGTATATACACCAAGATATACATATTTCTGTATATATAAACGGAGATATATATGTTTCTCAGTGTAGATACACCTAGTAATACATCTCGATGTATATACACCTAGATATACACACATTCTGTATATACACTGATATACACTTCAGTGCATATATACCAAAAGACGTACTTCTCGGTGTATTACACAAAAATATAAATATTTAGTGTATATACACCAGCAGATATACCTTTTTCGGTGTATATACACTATAATACAAATTGTTAGTTCTCAAGAATATATCGCGGCTTTAAAAGCATACCAGAGCATATTATAAGATACCAGAGCATATTATAAGATACCAGAGCATATTATAAGATACCAGAGCATATTATAAGATACCAGAGCATTTTATAAGATACCAGAGCATATTATAAGATGCCAGAGCATATTATAAGATACCAGAGCATATTATAAGATACCAGAGCATTTTATAAGATACCAGAGCATTTTATAAGATACCAGAGCATATAAGATACCAGAGCATATTATAAGATACCAGAGCATATAAGATACCAGAGCATATTATAAGATACCAGAGCATATTATAAGATACCAGAGCATTTTATAAGATACCAGAGCATTTTATAAGATACCAGAGCATTTTATAAGATACCAGAGCATTTTATAAGATACCAGAGCATTTTATAAGATACCAGAGCATTTTATAAGATACCAGAGCATATTATAGTACAGTTCTACAAGGCTCAGGGACTGATTACCTCATCTTCCCCTGTCCGTGTACAGTTCTACAAGGCTGAGGGACTGATCACCTCATCTTCCCCTGCCCGTGTACAGTTCTACAAGGCTGAGGGACTGATCACCTCATCTTCCCCTGTCCGTGTACAGTTCTACAAGGCTAAGGAACTGATTACCTCATCTTCCCTGTCCGTGTACAGTTCTACAAGGCTGAGGGGACTGATCACCTCATCTTCCCCTGTCCGTGTACAGTTCTACAAGGCTAAGGAACTGATTACCTCATCTTCCCCTGTCCGTGTACAGTTCTACAAGGCTGAGGGACTGATCACCTCATCTTCCCCTGTCCGTGTACAGTTCTACAAGGCTAAGGAACTGATTACCTCATCTTCCCCTGTCCGTGTACAGTTCTACAAGGCTGAGGGACTGATCACCTCATCTTCCCCTGTCCGTGTACAGTTCTACAAGGCTAAGGAACTGATTACCTCATCTTCCCCTGTCCGTGTACAGTTCTACAAGGCTGAGGGACTGATCACATCTTCCCCTGTCCGTGTACAGTTCTACAAGACTGAGGGACTGATCACCTCATCTTCCACTTACCCACACCATCTCTGTATTGAACTGATAAAGCCACTGATTGGCGAATCGTCTTCACATAAAACAATACCCAGGTGTCAGTACTGTATACCTTTCTTCTAAAGATACAAATGAGTATACACTCACCTGACCGGTATCTGCTGAACGGTAAGATGAACGCCGCCGAGCCTACGGGGATAACACTAGTCAGATACGATCACTATCAAACTGTCGACATCACTATCAAGCTGTCGACATCACTATCGAACTGTCAACATCACTATAAAACTGTCGACATCACTATCAAGCTGTCAGCTTCACTTTCTCTAGCTGTCAGTGATGCTGACAGACAAACTACTTATATTAATGGTATACAATACTGACAGGTACATGAATAAGCCACATTTGCAACACCTGGGTACCTTTGTTTTCGAAACGACTGAAGAAGCCTGCTGGGCAGGCGAAACTTTTCGACAATGAGGATACCCAAGTGTTGCACATGTATCTGGCTTATCTAAATTTAGTTCATTTATCATTCTTTAAGAAAGAGTAACTCATTCAGTACAAGAAACAGAGGTGAAGACTGGACGATGTGACCAACCCACAACCCATCTTCCTAAGTACTGATTTTTACACTTAGTTGTCAGGGTTGTGATTCTTCTGTCAGTGTGGCTACCAATGTTCAGGCCATGCATCAATCATAGTCTCACTGTGGCTACAAGTGTTGTGTTCACGAATCAACTACAGAACGGGTGAGGATCGAACCAGTGGCAAGTGAATCCTAAAACTCACAATCCAGTTTTAGGTCTCGGTTACCATGGTTCAAACCTCACCCGTTCTGTGATTTGCTTGGAATCGTGTTATCACGATCCTGTGAGTCACTTAGCGTACTCTGACTTGATTAGCTTGAGATAATGTATCGTCCGCACAAGGCATAATAGAGGCTGTCTTTGCATTGCAACCCACTATTGTAAATATAAAATCTCAATGTACTGTTTGCAAAGACAAAATAAATAAATAAATAAATTCGCCTAAACGCCAGAGTGAGATAAATCCCTAAGGCAGGGATTCAAACAGTACACATACACTCCTCTCGGTGTATACACAGAAATAAACACCTTTCGGTCTACATACACTACGAGATAGAACTCTTGATGTATAGATGGATAAATACCACCTCAAAAACTAAGTTTTCGAAGGCAATGGACTGATTTCATCACCTTAAGTAAGTTTATTCAGGTATACACAAATACAGTTACATAGAATTATCATACATAGCAGCATATGTGTAGAGAACCTGGGATAACCCAAAAAAGTCAGTGACTTATTTCCACTTATTTCCATCTACTTGTTCTTCTGTACTCGACTGACGAAGCCTACTGTGTAGGCGAAACCTTTAGGAATAAAGATACCCAACTGTTGCACATGTGTCTTACTGATCACAGGGGGACGTGGAAAGGTGAAAGGAAATACCTGGTCTGGTGCAGGCACGGCCACTTCCATAGCTGTGGACGAAGCTGCTGACTTCTGGTCGTACAACAAGGAAGGTGAGAACAGAGGAAGGTGATGCCTCCGCTGGTACTGTAAGTGAGAGTACCAGAGTTAGGTTAGGTCTGTCAGGAAACACAAGTGTTGCATTAATGTTGCTAGAATCACCCACAAGTGCAACTAATGTGACATTTTATTGTGGCAATGTTTCGCTCTCCAGGAACTTTGTCAAGCCCTTACAAACAATACATGGACACAGAGGGTATATATAGGCTTAGATTGAGGTGTAGTAGTAGTAAGTAGTAGTAAGTAGTAGTAGTAGTAGTCAACATAACTCACGAAATAGTAATTACACGATTGCAAACAAACCATACCATGGGTGGGGTTTAGAACCCACGACGGTCTGGAGTTTTGAGACACTCGGATCGCGGGTTCTAACCTCACCCGCGGTATGGTTATTAAAGCTATTGCTTGGGCAGCATAAAAACGGCTTAAAGGTCCTGCAGAGCGAAACGTTGCCACAAATGTCACATTAGTTGTACTTGTGTACTTTTACTTAACATATTGTCGGTAATTCTACCAACATTAATACTATTTGTGTATTGTTCCAGTGAAGATATTGTGACTTTTGTTGTTTATGAGGGTTGTGGCACGTTTCTGGGAGGACATTTCGACCACCAGAGACGAAACGTCCTTGTGAGAATTGATACAATCCCTGGTGGGTGAACCCTCATCTCCAAAACGTTGCCATAAATCGTATATAACAAAAAAAAAAAAAAAAAAACAGGCACAATACCGTGACTGGAACAATACACAAATAACACACATAAAGGAGTTTACGACGACGTTCCGGTCCGACTTGGACCATTTACAAAGGCACTTTGTAAATGGTCCAAGTCGGACCGGAACGTCGTCGTAAACTCCTTCTATTCTATGTGCTGGTTATTTGTGCATAAATCGTATATTATGTTAATTAGATACAAGTGTAAGTGTTGTATAACACACACTCCCCGCCCGTGTTATGGTTTGTTTACTGTTGTGTCATTACGATTTCCCGAGTCATTTTATTCCATTTTCAACACTGTCTAAACAGCAGTTTAACATACCCGAAGGACGGTGTTATCTGGAGAGACTGTGCTGTTGTCAGCAGAGCAAAGGTCACCATCTGCGCCAGGGTCACCAGCTGTGCCAAAGTCACCAGCTGGGCTAATGTTACCAACACAGCTTCAGAGGTCACCACCGTCACCAGCGCTCGTACCTACAACGTAATTAGTCTACATAATCTCATAAAAAAAAAAGAGAAAATAATTGTAACTATAATTTTTAAAGGGGTGGAATGGTAAGCCAGTGGAAGGCCTCGGTCAGATGACCGAAAGCTCCAGCTTCGGGTTATCACATGACTAAGACCCACGTCAGGAAACACTTGTCCTGTTTCCTGACTTAGGTAAGTTACGAAACCTCTTATAGAGCCAAGTTGTGTTCAGAAACATCAATATTTGTAAATGTTTTGCTCGTCAGTTTATGTTTTTAGAATTAACAATGTGATTTCTTTAACAAAGCAGTAAACATATATAAAATCATACAGAAAATAAAAACAACAGAGAGACTGGAACAATATATAACCCGGGAGAATGAAACCTATAACGACGTTTCGTCATTTATTGACGTTTCGGTCTAAGTTCCATTGAAACGTCTTTTATTGACGATGTTTCCGCTTTATCAACTCACAAACATTTGTGACTTGATAAATCCCACTGTGTGGGCGAAACGTTGTCAATTAAGGCTCGCATTATATTGCATTTGTATCTTATTTTTCCGTCTATTGTTACTATCGACGTCCTTCACTATACATCTTCCCCGTTAATACAAGGGAAGTCAGTCTGAAGACTTACCTTAAGCAACGCCTGAGACATTATGTAGTTTGTGGTAATTACCACACGCTGGAGAACAATGTATTAAAACGTGGAACTCAGAGTCACTTGGGCGTTGCTTCTCACAATCCTTGCTTGTTATTTTTTAATCTCTGCTGCTGTGGGGAAAGTCTGCTGTGTGGTTAGAGCTATGATTTCTGCCTCTGTTGTTGCCCTGGAGGACCTGAGGGAGCAACTGCAAGGACGAAGCGGTATTCGGCTTTTATATCGACTTTCGAAGTCACTCAGCGTATCGTTTGGCCGGACGGGCGTCAGGGGCCTGATGGGATGAGTGGAGGCGGGGCGCTCTGTCGCGCATTTCTCCCATGATGCAACGTACATAACTTGTATGACAGGTGAGCCAGCAGCCTCATTACGCAATGCAAGCGTAGGTGGTACGGAAAGGGAACCAAGAGACCATTCGACTCACGATCCAAAAAATAAATTATTATTATTATAATAAAAAAGAAGCACTAAGCCACAAGGGCTATACAGCGCAAAAAAAAAAAAGAAAGAAAACGGACGGGAGAAGGGGTTGAAAAGTGCTTTTCCTGAGCCCCTTAGACAGCTGGGGTTCATAAGTGTTATTGAGGACCTGGACGCCTTAAAATAAGATTTTTTTTTTCCTCTGAAAGATGAACAGTTGAAGGAAAGACAGGATAAGTGAATGCAGGGGAGAAAGATACATGATAATATGCAGAATGGTTTGAAAAACCGACAAGTTGAAGATTGAGACACTTATGCAGCATATGGGAATCTTTATTCAGGAAACGTTTCGCCACACAGTGGCTTCATCAGTCCAATACAAAGAGGAAGGCATAAGGAGAGGAGGAGAATGAGGTAATCAGTCCCTCAACCTGGAGTCGATGTGTTCAGTCCATCAATCTTGTAGAATGTATTGGACTGATGAAGCCACTGTGTGGCGAAACGTTTCCTGAATAAAGATTCCCATATGCTGCATAAGTGTCTCAATCTTCATCATGATAATATGCACTTGGACTAGAGGGACTAGTCCCAAATCTGCGCACTGAAATAATTCCCTACAACAGCAAGACTCGGCAGGAGATGCAACATCCCCTACATTGAAAAGTATGGGAGCCATGAGTAACCTAAGAGGCAAAACAATAATTGTCAGGGGCCCAAGACTGTTCAACTGCCTCCCAGCATACATAATGCAGGATTACCAATAGTCCCCTGGCTGTCTTCAAGAGGGAGCTGGACAGACACCTAAAGTCAGTACCTGATCAGCCGGGCGTTGGTTTCCGTGCGGCCAGCAGTAACAACCTGGTTGATCAGGCCCTAATCCACCTCGATGCCTGATCATGGATCACCCCAACTTGACTTCTATTGTTAGTTTAGGTAAGGTTCGTCAGGAAACAGGACAAGTGTTTCCTGACGCGGGTCTCAATCATATGATGATCCCCGACACTGGAGTTTTGGTCATCTGACCGAGACCTTCCACTAGCTTACTAGTCCATCTTTTTAAAAATTTCCAGTGTAGTTACTGAAGCTGAGTTATGGTGGTGTCCAGACTTCAGTCTTCTCCCCGAAATGCTGTACATTTAGTCCTCAAGGGAGGTTCCTTGATGCTGGTGAGGGGTTCTTGATCTAGGGAAGTGGATCTGTTTACCTGGAGAGAGTTCCGGGGGTCAACGCCCCCGCGGCCCGGTCTGTGACCAGGCCTCCTTAGGTCAGTGTCCCAGGATGCGACCCACACCAGTCGACTAACACCCAGGTACCCATTTTACTGATGGGGAACATAGACAACAGGTGGAAAGAAACACGTCCAATGTTTCTACTCTGGCTGGGAATCGAACCCAGGCCCTCACCGTGTGAAGCGAGAGCGTTAACCACCAGGCCACCAGAGCCCCTGAATTAAACCTGAATACCTGCCATATATCCTCCCCCCACGGGCGCTGTATGCTCCTACAGGTTTGGCGCTTCCCCTTGATTATAATGTACACAGTTTTTTCATTTTTTTGTGGGGGGAAATGATTAATAATAATTATAATAAAAAGCGCTAAATCACAAGGGGTAATAATAATATTTTATAATTTTATTAGTTGTAAAATGTACTGTCTCGTGTATATTTTTTATTTATCTGTCTTCAAGAATATAATCCCTAAAACAGGATTATTGTGAATTATTATAATCAAGGGGGAAGCGCTAAACCCGTAGGATTATACAGCGCCCGGAGGGGGGGGGATGTGGAAGGCATTCAGGCTTAATTCGGGGAACTGGAGCACAGATCCAATTCCCTAAATCAAGAGCCCCTCACCAACATCAAGGAAAGTAAAAGGACACAAGTGCAACTAATGTGACATTTATTGTGGCAACGTTTCGCTCTCCAGGAGCTTTATCAAGCCATTACAAACAATACATGGACACAGAGGGTATATAAAGGCTCAGAGTGAGGTGTAATACTAGTGAGGTACCATTAGTTGCACTTGTGTCCTTTTACTTTACATATCGTCGGTAATTCTACCAACTTTATTACAACATCAAGGAACCTTCCCTGAGGGGAGGATTATTGTGAAGTCTCAGACTATGTACACAGAGAAATATACATCTGTGTATATATCGTGCTGATTTCAGACTAACACATTGTAAAACTGAATATAAAAAATTGGGATTCTTATGTAATGTTATGTAATTTTGTGTCGATAAAGTGGTTCCTGGTTTGATATAGTTGAGACACACACACAGGTGGCCCGGTGGCCTGGTGGCTAAAGCTTTCGCTTCACATACGGAGGGCCCGGGTTCGATTCCCGGCGGGTGGAAACATTTCGACACGTTTCCTTACACCTATTGTCCTGTTCACCTAGCAGCAAATAGGTACCTGGGTGTTAGTCGACTGGTGTGGGTCGCATCCTGGGGGACAAGATTAAGGACCCCAATGGAAATAAGTTAGACAATCCTCGATGACGCACTGACTTTCTTGGGTTATCCTGGGTGGCTAACCCTCCGGGGTTAAAAATCCGAACGAAATCTTATCTCATCACACGAGGTATACTAGAGTCTGTATTACCGTGGATTACTGTATGGTGAGGCAGCGTTGTTATAACTGCTGTTCACGTCACACTGCTTGAATACTTTCATTCAGCATACTTGCCTCTTTGTATTCATGCATTTGTGGTTGCAGGGATCGAGTCACAGCTCCTGGCCCCGCCTGGTTGCTCTACTAGAGCGACCAACTATTATGACACACACACATCTAGTAGCGACTAGCAAAGAGGCTGGGCCATGAGCTATGAATCGACCCCTGCAACCACACACAGACAAGTACACACACACCTTCCGTGAACCCACTCTCGTAACTAAACATACAGAACCACCCATAAGAAAATCAATTTAGTCATCCTTTTTCTATACGTTCTTCTTCTGATGACCAGAGCTTTGGTAAGATGGGTAAGGAAGAAGGATGGGTAAGGATAGAAATTTTGGAAAAGGGTGGGAGGGGGGAGAGAGGTAGGATATAAAAGGTAAGTGGCCCAACCACTTTGGTGTAATTTAAAAAGTGTATGTGAAATGATAAGATATTCTTTAAGGGGTATAAGACTAACCCATCAGAGTCACATAGATATAACAGATATATAAGTACATGACTCTGAATTGGTAGTAATTATACAAGTTGCATTTTTTTTTTTGCGATTGCACAACGGATATTTATGCGACAATGAAGGCAATAATTTCCTGGCCAGTTTATAGAATTACGTGACAATGGCATCTTACAGGTGCTGTCCAGCCATAGTAAATAGCATAATTTTTACATTAGATTGTTATATAAGATTTCTCCCTAATTGGGGGCGATGATTTTCTCAGTATACATAGAAGGGTTCTGGTGTTACCCAATCTTCATCAGGGAGGTTGCTCAATATCATGGGTCGATGGTAATCATCTTTATGTATAAAACGACGGACCCTCTGTGGGAGAGTCATTCTTTGAGTCCTGTGAGGAGGAGTATTGATGATATAATCCGTGGTATTTACCACTTGTATAGGATGTTCTCTATCTGGCATGTATAGTTCTTGCATTGTATAGAGTTGTTTCTTTTTTAGGGTGTCAAGGCGTACATTTATGGCAGTAATATCTTGTCTGTGTAAATCTGCCATTTTAATTCTCTCTCTCCTCCTGGTATAGGTAATGAAGCGAAGAGCTCTATTCTGGACCCTTTGTAACCGTAGCATATTGGTCTTTGTTGTTAATGACATTGGGACACAAGGGTATTCGAGTATAGGTCTTATTATCATTTTATACAGATGTTTTTTGACATGTTGAGGGGCTTGATTGAATCGAAAGAGACTGCTAAGACCGGCTTTGGCTATGTTGATCTTTTTAATTACATGAGATGTTGAGTGGAGCAGCCTGTTTATTTCATATCCCAAAATCTTGTTAGGGTTTCTAATGGCTACAGGTGTACCTCTGATGGAGATACCCCCTTTATCTTCAATTGTTGATGCAAAACATCCTATCGTGCTAACAAGGACCTTGTCAGGATTAGTCGTAATTCTCCATTTCTTTTCCCAATTAGATGTTCGACGAAGTTCAATATTCATTTTTTCTATGACTCTCTCATACTTGTATTTTCCTGTTACCGGAGTTGATGAGACGACATGAATAACATCATCTGCAAACTGTGTCACAATTGTATCATTAAACTCTGGTTGAGGAAGGTCATTCACATAAATGTTGAACAGAATTGGACTGAGACAAGAACCTTGTGGGACACCAGCTGTCGGTATAAAAGGCTCTGTCGACCTGCCATGAAAGGTGGGAATGATTTTTCTTTGAGTTAAGAAATTATATATTACTCTGAGAAAAGTCCAGTTATGGTATGGTCTAGGTCAATGAGTTTGTATATAAGACCATCATGCCATAAGCTATCAAAAGCTTTATGAACATCTCTGGTGGCAATTAAGGCAAGATTCCCCTGATGTTTTAGACTTGCTACAGTATCGAAATAAATTTATTGCATGATTGGTACCTCTGTGTGTTCTAAAGCCAAATTGTTTTTCAGTAAAAAAGTGATTAAACTCCATATAGTAGTTCAATCTGTTGGAAATGACTTTCTCAAGAACTTTTCCAGTGAGTTCAAGTAAAAATATAGGTCTATAGTTCCCAGGTTGGTGGATGTCTTTATTGGGCTTACCAAGAAAGATCATCCTAGCAGTCTTAAAA